TAACCCCTAATGAAATAGAAGCCCTCATCAAAAGTCTCCAAACCAAAAAAAAAGTCCAGAGCCAGATGGTTTCAGTGCATAATTCTACCAGAAATTCAAAGAAATAATACCAATACTCCTGAAACTGTTCCACACAATAGAAGCAGAAGGGTCATTGTCAAACTCTTTTTACAAGGCTACAATTACCTTGGTACCCAAGCCACACAAAGACACAACTAAGTGAGAAAACTACAGACCAATATCCCTCATGAACATTGTTGTAAAAATTCTCAATAAAATTTTAACAAATCTAATCCAAGAACACATCAGAAAACTCATCCACCATGATCAAGTAGGCTTCATCCCAGGGATGCAGGGATGGTTCAACATACAAAACTCCATCAATGTAATCCACCATATAAACCAACTGCAAAAGAAAAGCCACACAATTATCTCACTAGATGCTGAAAAAGTCTTTGACAAAATCCAAACCCCTTCATGATAAAGGTCACAGAGAGATTAAGAATAACAGGAACATACCTGAACATAATAAAAGCAATATACAGTAAACCAACAGCCAACATCAAACTAAACGGAGAGAATCTCAACTCACTTTCTCTAAAATCAGGAACAAGACAAGGCTGTCCACTCTCTCCATATCTCTTCAATGTTGTAATTGAAGTTCTTGCTAGAACAGTAAGATAACAAAAGGAGATCAAGGGGATACAAATTGGAAAGGAAGAATTCAAACTTTCACTCTTTGCAGATGATATGATAGTTTACATAAGTGATCCAAAAAACTCTACCAGGAAACTCCTGCAGCTGATAAACACCTTCAGCAAATTGTAAGGATACAAGATTAACCCAAAAAAATCAGTAGCCCTACTATATATAGACAATAAATGTGCTGAGAAAAAAAATCAGAGAAACATCAACCTTTACAATAGCCACAAACATAAAAAAGTCTTGGGGTAGCACTAACCAAACAAATGAAAGACCTGTATAGTAAGAACTTTGATTCCTTAAAGAAAGAAATTAAGGAAGATACCATAAAATGTAAAGATCTCCCATGCTCTTGGATAGGTAAGATCAACATAATAAAAATGGCAATCTTGCCAAAAGCAATCTAAAGATTCAATGCAATCCCCAACAAAATACAGGCACAATTCTTCACAGACCTTGAAAGCACAATAATCAACTTCATATGGAAAAACAAAAGACCCAGGATAGTCAAAATGACACTGTACAATAAAGGAACTTCAGGAGGCATCACCATCCCTGACTTCAAGCTCTACTATAGAGCTATAGTAATGAGAACATCTTGGTATTGGCACAAAAATAGACAGGTAGACCAATGGAATAGAATTGAAGACCCTAATATTAACCCACACACCTATGAACACCTGATCTTTGACAAAGAAGCTAAAACTATACAATGGAAAAAAGAAAGCATATTCAACAAATGGTGTTGGCAAACTGGATGCTGGCATGTAGAAGACTGCAGATAGAGCCATATCTATCAGCATGCACAAAACCTAAGTTCAAATGGATCAAAGACCTCAACATCAATCTAGCCACACTGAACCTCTTAGAAGAGAAGGTGGAAAGTACCCTCAAATGAACTGGTACAGGAGACTGCTTCCTGAACATAACACTAGTAGCACAGACACTGAGGATGACAATTAATAAATGGGACCTCCTGAAAATGAGAAGCTGCTGTAAGGCAGAGGACACAGTCAACAAGACAAAATGACAGCTACAGAATGGGAAAAGATATTCACCAACCCCACATCTGACAGAGTGCTGATCTCCAAAATTTACAAAGAACTCAAGAAACTAGTCACCAAAACACCAAAGGATCCATTTAAAAAATGGGGAACAGAACTAAATAGAGAATTCTCAATAGAGGAGTCCCAAATGGCTGATAGACACTTAAGAAAGTGCTCAACATCCTTAGCCATCAGGGAAATACAAATCAAAACAACTCTGAGGTACCATCTTACTCCTATCAGGATGGCTAAAATCAAAAATACCAATGACAGTTTAAGCTGCAGATGACATGGAGAAAGGGGAATACTCCTCCACTGCTCGTGGGAGTGCCAACTTGTACAGCCACTTTGGAAATCAGTATGGAGATTCCTCAGGAAAATGGGAATCAGTCTACCACCAGATCCAGCAATTCCACTCTTAGGCATATACCCAAAAGATGCACATTCATACAACAAGGACATCTGTTCTACTATGTTCATAGTAGTATTATTTGTAGTAGCCAGAACCTGGAAGCAACCTAGATGCCCCTCAAATCAAGAGTGGATAGAGAAAATGTGGTACATTTACACAATGGAGTACTACTCAGTGGAAGAAAAAAACAATGGAATCTTGAAATTTGCTGCCAAATGGATGGCACTAGAAGAAACCATCCTGAGTGAGGTAACCCAGTCACAAAAAGACAAACATGGTAGGTACTCACTCATATATGGATTCTATATATAGAACAAAGGATTACCAGCCCACAATTCACAGTGCCAAAGAAGTTAGGAAACAAGAAGAACCCTAAGAGAGACATACATGGTCCCCTAGAGAAGGGAAAAGAGACGAGATCCCCTGAGCAAATTGGGAGCATGGCGGGGAGGGGAGAGGGAGCTAAGAGAAAGAGAAGGGGAGAAGAGGAGGTGAGAGGAGGACATGAGGGAGCAGGAAGATTGAGTGGGGGTGGGGAATAGAGGAGAGCAATATGAGATACCATAATAGAGGAAGCAATTATAGGTTTAAAGAGAAATCTGGCACTAGGGAAATTTCCAGAGATCTACAAGGATGACACCAACTGGCAATCTAAGCAACAGTGGAGAGGCTACCTTAAATGCCCTTCACTAATAATAAGATTGATGACTACCTTATATTCCATCCTAGAGCTTTCATCCAGTAGCTGATGGAAGAAGAAACAGTCACCCACAGCTAAATACTGAACTGAACTCCTGGAATCCAGTTTCAGAGAGGGAGTAGTGATGAGCAAAGGGGTCAAGACCAGGTTGGTGAAACCCACAGAAACAACTGACCTGAACAAGGGGGATCTCATTGACCCCAGATTGATACCTGGGAAACCAGCATAGGACTGATGTAGACCCCTTGTACATGGGTGTCAGTGAGGAGGCCTTGGCATTCTATGGGGTCTCTGGTAGTAGATCATTATTTATCCCTAGCAAAAGAGTGGACTCTGGGAGCCCATTCTAAATAGAAGGATGCTCTCTCAGCCTGGACAAATGGGGGAAGGCCTAAGCCCTGACCCAAATACTATGACAGACTTTGAAGATGCCCCCATGAAAGGCCTCACCCTCCATGGGGAGCAGAAGGGGAATGGATGGGAGGGTTAGCGGTGGGAAAGGGAGGTCAAGGGAGGAGGGAAAGGAGAGGGAACTGGGATTGATATGTAAAACAACCTTGTTTCTTATTTAAATAAAATAAAAAATAGTGAGTTATGATATAAACTATGCTAAGTAACAATTAACTAAACTCCAATCTCAGACTCTAAAGAAGTAAGTTCTTGTGGCTGTAAAACCAAAGCTGGTTGTCTCCATAACTAGAATCCCAGCCTCAAGCCAGAGCCAACTCAGGGGGAATGGTAGCCTCCAACAAGGAATTCTTGCAGAAAGCCCCTATCTCAACTCAAACTTCCCGTTTCTAGCCTTAATTCATATTGTGTAAGGCCTGTGAAAATGACACCAACTGCTTTACAGGAGAAACCTCTCTTTCTCTCATCATATCATCCCTTTTTCCTCTTTTTTTCTCACTTCTTATTCCCTTAACCCACCTTTCCTAACTCAACTTTCCACAGTTTCGACTCTATATGCCCTGGGGCCTGCAATAATGTATGTTTCAGTCCTTACACATCATGCTTCATTCCATCTCTGTCTGTTATTAGATCAATTTGGCCACTAGGGTTGATATTCTGAACACTCTTAGCTCCAGTGCCTGCTTTAGTCCTTTTCAGTTGCTCCACTGTATTTCATAGCACACTCCCTCATTAACTATGGAATGTTGGGAATGATCTTTTGACAAGTCACTGTGGACAGCCTAAGACACCTGTTTCAGAGGAGAATCTATTTTCTCAGTCAGTCAGTCAGCCAGCCAGCCAGCCAGCTAGTCGGTGTCATCATTCAGGCTTCAGCAGTGATGAGGAGGGCCACAAGAGTCCTAGAAAGGCCAGCAAGTGCAAGGATTTGTAGGAAGCACAGGATGTGGGGCAGCACAGACTCTTCTTCCACTCCTGGAGCCCTCAACCGCTCATTTCACCCACAATGTCACCACCTTCCCGACTGTTCTGAAGAGCAAGCTAAGGATATGTTTAATGCATTAGGAAGGTTGCTGTCCAATAGCAGACAGTAAAGATGAGAGCAAGCTGACCCTAGATCTTTGGATCCACAGGCAAAAACTGATATGAACACAGGTAAGCCACACTAAACAAAGGAAGCAGTAAAAAATGACCACACAAGAAGTTCTTGGGACGACCTTATACGAGATAGTTCCTTTGAGTTCTCAACCAGTTGACTGCTTGTCTGAAGCGTACATTAAACCCTCACAGATCCCTACAAATAGAACACAGAACTTGTACTATCTTTCCCTTCTCAGTGCCCCATGCTTTGTTTTCCAAGTGTTTTCTCTACCAATAAGCCCTGTGAAGTTGGCTCCCATTTGCCTCTTCTGAGGTACAAATGACCAAACTGAACTGTTGCAGGGAGATCCACTTCACTAATTCAGTTTGGTCATTCTTGGTCTCAGAAGAGACAAGTGGGAGTTGAGTTCTTACTCTACCCTGGAGGGAGCTAGTAATCGGTGTCTGTAGAAATAGAGAGAGGGAAGGAGAAAATGGGGAGAGGGTTGGCAGGGTTTAGAGAAAGGGAGATGGGAAGAGAAAGAATATGTGTTTGACTGGGGTTCCGTTTTGTTTGTTGTTAGGTTGTTTTGTTTGAAAGAATCTGGGAGTGTCACCAAGAATTCTATTACTTTTTTCCCTTAAAAGGTCACTCAAACCTAGTTCTCACAGCCCAGGAAAGGAACACTAAAGGTAGCATTTGCTTTCCTTACTTCAGGTTTTATTCTCCGATGAACACAAGGGTCACATTTTTCCATTTTATGTCCACAGATCTATGTGAGATTTTTCCCCCTGCTTTCTTGTTATTGTTGTTCTTCCTCTGTGTATAGCATAAGTAGCCAAAATCACCACTTTTCTTCAAGGCAGGCAGATGTGTTTGACCAATTAAAATGGAGTGGGTTGGGATGTCATAGCCTTGAGGCAGGGAGAGGTAACTGGAGTCATGGAGAAGTGTGGGGTTCTGAGGATCATGGATGAATGTTCTGAGAACTGAAGAATGTAGGGCTGACTGCCAGACCAGACTGAAGCCAAAGTCATGCCAAAGGAGAAGAGTGGAGGCAAAGTTGACTTTGGGCCAGAGTCAGAAGACCCAAAGAAGGAAAAGACAGCGTCACTAGATGAGGTAAAAGTGACAGCTGCCTAGAGTCTGGAAGAAGAGGAAAGAACTCCCAGGTAGAGGCTCCAAGCAGAGAGAACTTCAGAGCCAATCCAAATATAGAAGCTGGTTGCTGGAGCAATGTCACTGTGGTTGTCAACAACACTTGGCACTAAGCACGGGTTCCAAAGTCAATTCTAACTCAAACTCAATTTCTGCTGGTGACAATATTGAGGCTATAGGGGCAGAAAGACAGCTGAGTTCAGAGGGAAGAGTAGGGTTCTCTGAGACTACATCTAGCCTTTAAAATGTACCAGAGTCCCCCTGAGGATCTGATTAAGGGACCTAACATGCCATCTTTGAGTGTGCCCGTTCAGCAGCATTCAACTAATGCCTCTGCATTTTGCTGCTTGGGTGCCATGACCAGGAAGAGTCAAATCTCAGGGCAGTTTTTCTGAGGCCCATTGTCACTCTCATCTAGCTCCTCCAAATGCCTTCTTTTTTTAGAGTTGACAGAACTAGGTCAAATGGAAAAGTTTGTGTTAAAATTGACATGCTACCCAGAGATGTCATCTAATGGGGACTGGTTCCAGGATGCCAAAATCTGTAGGTACACAAGTCACCTATAGTATGCCAAAGTCTGTAGGTACACAAGTCACCTATAGTATGTAAATGTAACAAGTATCCTCCATATGCTTGAAATCATCAGATTATTTATAGCATGTAATACAGTGTAAATAGATGCTCTCTGTTCTGTTGACACTTGCCCTCAAATATTTTGGTCAATGGTTGGATATAGCCAACATAGAGATAGTGTTTAATGTAAAGAATAGTATAATTCCTATAAAAATCCAAGAGCATTTGCCACAGAAATTGGGGATCCATAACTTTATGAAGAGCCACAGAAGATCCTAAACAATACAAGCAATTTTGAGAAAAAAGAACAAAGCAAGAGAAACTATAATTCTTGTTTAACTATGTCACAAAACTATAGCAACCAAAACAGTATAATTTGTATCTAAAAGGAGAAATGGATCAGTATTAAAATTCCAGAAAGGATATTCTATTCAATAAATGTTGCTAGGCACATTAAATATCCAATTTATAAGAATAAATGAATAAAATTAGATCAACATTTTATACCACTTAAAAAATTTAACCCAAATTGTACTAAAGGTTTAAATGTAAGAGTCTATAAAATCCTTACTGGAAAATATAGAAGCAAAGCTCCTTGAAATTGGAGAGTAAGTGCTGGGGTCCAGCCTTGGCTCGGGTTCAAGTACTGAAGTGGGCAATGGGCATCGGTGCAAGGAAAGATTCTGACCACCAAGAGGACTGCATTCAGGTGGCTCCTAATAGCTCAGGCCATCTTTATTTATACTTAAACAAAGTATTTTTTTTTGTTTTTCTTACCAGGGTTACATGCACAGCTTTATTATTGACTTCTTACTCTTCTCTTCTTCTTCTTCTTCTTCTTCTTCTTCTTCTTCTTCTTCTTCTTCTTCTTCTTCTTCTTCTTCTTCTTCTTCTTCTCCTTCTCCTTCTCCTTCTCCTTCTCCTCCTCCTCCTCCTCCTCCTCCTCCTCCTCCTCCTCCTCCTCCTCCTCCTCCTCCTCCTCCTCCTCCTCCTCCTCCTCCTTCTTCTTCTTCTTCTTCTTCTTCTTCTTCTTCTTCTTCTGTTTTTCAAGACAGGGTTTCTCTGTATTTCTTTGGAGCCTATCCTGGAACTTGCTTTATAGACCAGCCTGGCTTCCAACTCACAGAAATCCGCCTGCCTCTGCCTCCCAAATTCTGGGATTAAAGGTGTGTGTCACCAATACCCAGGTCTATTTTTGACTTTAAGAAATACATCAAAATTTAAGGAATACATTGTGCTCATTATGAAAACTCCCATTGTTCCCCTTTATGCTTCCCTAAACATACCTTCCCATCTCCTGCATAACCTTATTCTAGACATAGAGTTCAGCATGTTTGCAGACTTAACTAAATACAGAACCAGACACATCCTGCTCTTGCAGCTCTCATGTCAGATGGCAGCTACTTGCAGTTACAAAGTTAAACAGTAACAGACATGGGCACAATGCTTTAAGGACAGCAATATTCAAACCCAGACAATTCCTCCATGTCTGTAAGATATGCTTTTATATAGTTCCATTTTCTACAAGAGGGTCCACGTCTCAATCTCTCTGTAAAAAGCAGACCTTGACAAACCACCCTTTTCCCATTTCACTATACAGCACTTCTACCACCAATATAAACTCATATTTATAGTAAAGATGGATCTATCCATCCCACATTTTGAATTGGACTCATACCAGATCCTACCAATGATTCAATGAACTTACTCTCTACAGTTGGCGCTATATGTATCCCTGAGGCCCTTTCCCTATTCTATGTACACATGCCTTACTCTCCAGATCTGTGGGACATGGTTAATGTTCCAAGCATTGTTACTCATATGTACCTAACAGTATCTATAGAGTCAGAAAAGCTCCCAGAATTAGGAGTTGTTAGTAATTCCAGATAAGAAATTTGAAAAGCATTAGTCCTCTGTCCAATCTTAGGGGAAAATATTTAAGAACAAGCAGAATTTCTGGGTAAAATTACCATTGTTGCATGTATGACTGACAAAGTAAAACTAAAAACCACCCAAAGAATAATCAATATGAGAGTGAAAAGAGCATGCAAACTACATAAGTTTCATAAACTCCTATGCTGTCCTGTGGACTACCGGTCCTTGCCAAGTGACAGTCCATTTCCACAGGTCCCTTGCCCCAAAGAAACCCATGCTGATCTGAGAGCAGGCTCTCAACAGACGAGTATGTCATACACAGCTGTAATCCGGCACTTGAGAAGCTGAGTCTGGAAGATTACAAGTTTGGAGTCAGCATGAACTATGTACTGAGACCCTGTCTCCTGAAACCAAAGGAAGCAAGATTCTGACAATGTGTTTTTAGTGTGACTAAAAAGCTCTACATAGCCAAGCAAATAATATACAAAATGTACCCGTGGAATGGGTGAAACTGCTTGTAAATGAGGTATCCAACATGAATTAGTTTCCAAAAATCAAGGTATCCTGGTTTTCAGATGCCATGAACACTTACAGTTCCCACCAACTCCACCAGAAAACTCTTCACCCTGATAAACATGTTCAACAAGGTAGCAGGATACAAAATCACTTCACAGAACTGAGTAACCTTCCTGTATATCAACATCAAACTTATGAGAAAGAAATTGGGCTAAGGGGTAGAAATCCCATTCATAATCACTTCAAACAACAATAAAATAAAATACCTAGGAATGAAGCCATTCATGGATGTGAAAGGCTCAACAATGGAAATTTTATGATGCTAAAGAAAGAAATTTAAGAAGCCCAGAAACTCTTTATATTCATGTGTTGGCAGAGTCAGCATTATAATAATGGCTTATATTACCAAAAGCCACATATAAATTCAGTCCAGTCTCCGGCAAAACTGCAAAAATATTCCTCACAGAAATAGAATATATGAGTCCTAAAGTGTGGAGGAAAGATGAATCTTGTATGATGTTGGTAGGAATGTAAACTGGTTAACCTCTGAGAGTCAATATGTAGCTGTCCTTAAACACTAAAGACTTAGACACAGACCAGCATATGACCCAGCTGTGCCATGCTTGAGTGTATATTCAACCGACTCCAGGCCAGTATACACAGACTATTTCCATGTCCATGTTTATTACTGTACTGTTCATAAGCTCTAAGAAATGGAGCCAGCCTTAGTGCTTATCAACAGATAAATGAAAAAGGAAAATGCATGGAATTTTACACAACTGTTAAGAAAAATGAAATCATGGAGTCATTATGTTATAATAAATAAGTCAGACCTGTGAAGACCAATAATGAGTTTTCTCTTGTGTGCAGACTCTAGGTGTGTGTGTGCGTGCGTGTGTGTGTGTGTGTGTGTATGCACGCACGTGCACGACAAAAGTGAACAGAAACTGTAAAAGATGGCAATGCAAAAGTAAAAATCAAGGCACTTTGTAAATACATAGGTTGGAAGAGAAAATAGTCACCGCAAAGCAGAGAGATCTCGGCTATTGTTTTGGATGCTGTCTATGACATTCTTAGCTCTTGGTTTGGTGGAAGCTGGGAGTCCATTTTATATCCCAAAGGGATTTACCTAGTGTAAATGTCATGTTCCATAAGCAGGGCAGTCTGGGACTTTACAGGTAACTAGGCCCTAAATGGCCAGTTCACTGCAGGAGGGATGAGAGACTCTGGGCAAAATGGGTCACACGTTAACCAATCCTCACTCTCACACCCAGAGAAAGAGTGACTCCTGTCACACATAGTAATTCCTGTATACTCCTTGCCCCTACCTCTGTCACATGCACAAGTCATACAACCAGGCTCTCTGTACCGCCTAAGGAATCTTAAGAAAACACTTTGCTTTGTTTCAGGGTCTTGCTTGAAGGTTGAGCTGACTCACCACCTCTCTCTTGTACCTCTTATCTCTAGACATGAAATGTCACACCTGGTACTGAAGCACAGGATCGAGACATACCATGAGAGCGGCCACAATGTGGGTTTCCCTGCTTTCGCCACCGCGCCCTCAACACCCATTACTGTTACCAGGACGCCTACTTCCATTGCTTCCAGGCCTTTGCCCTCCTACCATGGCCTTGCTCCTCACCACCATCCACGGCTTTTGCTGTTCTCCAGGACTGGAATTTTATGCAACACTGAACCTTTGTTTTCATTTGGTGAGTCTCCCACAAGACCAGGTTTTCCCCAGACCACCTGAGTCCTGCAATGGAAACATGGCCTCAGTCTACCACAGAGGCCTGACTACATTTCCCCAAGGGACCATGAAAGAAGAAGATGTGCAGTTCCTCCTCTCGCTGATGGGCTCACCAGACTCTCTGAGGAGTGCTACTCTGTCTTGCTCACCCAAACATTTCTCCTTGGTTGTCTTCATCACAACCTTAAATTTCTTTATCTTTAGACTTTTTGAGAAACAGGAAGGACCCGAAGAGAGATATGCATGGTACCCCCAGAGAAGGTGGAATGAGGCAAGATCTCCTGAGCAGATTGGGAGCATGGGGAGGGGGAGAGGGAGCCAGGAAAAAGAGAGGGGGAGAAGAGGAGGGGAGAAGAGGACATGGGGGAGGCAGGAAGGTTGAGTTGGGGGAAGAATAGAGGAGAGGAGGATGAGAAATACCATAATAGAGGGAGTCATTATAGGTTTGAGGAAAGATCTGGCACTAGTGAGATTTCCAGAGATCTACAAGGATGACACCAACTGGAAAACTAAGCAATAGTAGAGGGACTACCTTAAATGCCCCTCCCTAATAATGATTTTGACAACTATCTTATATACCATCCTAGAACCTCCATCCAGTGACAGACAGAAGCAGAGGCAGACACCCACAGCTAAACACTGAACTGAACTCCTGGAACCCAGTGACAGAGAGGTAGGAGTGATGAGCAAAGGGGTCAAGACTGGGCTGGTGAAACCCACAGAAACAGCTGTCCTGAACAAGGGGGAGATCTTGGGCTCCAGACTGATGGCTGAGAGGCCAGCTTGGGACTGATCCACACACCCTGAATGTGGGCGTCAATGAGGAAACCTAGGCAACCTATGGGGCTTTGGGTAGTAGATCAGTATATATCCCTGGCCTACAAATGGACTTTGGGTGCCCATCCCACAATGAGGGATGCTCTCCCCGGAACAAAATGACAGACTCTAGAGATCCCCAGGGAGGGGTAAGGCCCTCCCTGGGGAACGGAGTGGAGGACTGGGGGGCCTGGTGGGGAGGAGTGGGCGTGGAGGGGAGCGAGAGGGAGCTAGGACTGACATTGGAGGCAAGCTTGTTTCTAATTTAAATATATAATTTTAAAAAGTGTTTTTAAAAAACTTCAGACTTTTCCACATGGATCACTTGCTTCCAGCTTAGCCTCCTCCAGTTCTGCCCAGACTCTCTGAATCCTCTCGTTCCTTCCTCTTCCAGAATCACCCATTCTTTTTCTTTCCAGGTTCCTCCAGCTGGCTCCACCTAAACCTGCATTCTCTTTCCCTTCATAGCTGACCAAGGCTTCTAGTCGCTCTAAACAACTCCTGTGCTGTCTTCTGACAACCAAGAAACACCAGCTTCCTCCCCTCCCCGCTTCTGCTTCTGACACCCTCCTTGCCACCCCTTGTGTCCCCCGTTTCCCCACCAAGACCGGCTCTCTCAAGTTTCTATGGGTCTTCCTGCTGCCGGCCTCGATGACCAATGCCGCTGGAGCTGAGCGGAGTGTCAAGCCTTTCTCCCTCTCTGACCTTTCCCATCCTGAAAGGTGTGTTGGATCCTTTCCTGTTGATCCTAAAGTGTACACTGAAAGATCCCAATACGTCTTACGTCCCCAACAATCTGACTTTCTTGGATGTTTATACCGTCATCTTCTTTACTGCCAAACCAAAAGGAAGTGTGTGTGTGTGTGTGTGTGTGTGGTGTGTGTGTATACATGTGTGTGGTATATGTGTGGATGAACATGTGTATGTGGTGTTTATGTGTGTTATGTGGATGTGTGTATGGATGAGCCTGTGTGTGTGAGCATGCACACAAGCATATATGTGGTGTGTATGCATATGTGTAGTGTGTGTGTATATGTGTGGTGTGTATGCATGTTGTGCATATGTATGTAAATGTGTGTGATGTGTATGAGTATGATGTGTATGTGAGTGGTATGTATGTATGTGGTCATAAGCATGTGTGTGTGAGTGCATGTATATGTGTGTGTATAGATGAGCATGTATGTGTGTGGTATGTATGTGTGTGTACATGAGTGTGTGTGTGTGTGTGTATTACGTGGGCTTTGCTTTTGCAGTTTCTTCATACTCAAGATTCCCTCCATGAATCTGTAGGAATGCAGTGGCCCTCTCTGTCATCCCTAAGTGAAATTATTAGCTCAACTCTCCTAATCTGGCACATATGTACCCTTTTCTAGCCTGACTGATGGAGTACATAAAAATGGCATCCCTATGATAGGGTCCAAGAGCCCACCCAGAGTGCTGATGAAAGCCAGGCAGGCTTTGTAAATTGCCCTACAGGGGCTCTCATGTATACCAAGTCAGGTGCTAACTCTGAGGTAGGGAGACTGTACTTATTTTTCTTTGAAAATAATTTTTATATAATATATTTTGATCATATTTTGCTCTCCCCATTCTTCCCAGAACCTTCCCACCTCCCAATACATCCAATTTGACTTCCTTTTTCTCTTTGTCTCTCTTTCAGAGATAAAAACAAAAACTAAGAAACATACACACAAACCCCCACCAAAACACAAAAATTAAAACCAAAATGAATAAACAGAAGACCAACAAGACAAAAAATGCCAAAACAAAGCAAAATGAAACAAAGGTCACAAAAAGACTCTGTTAGAGAAAACTGATTCTCCCTTTGCTAGCAGTTGTCAATTGCAGACAATTTCTTGGTTAGGGTTGCGTCCATTTCTCCTTCTTAGTACAGGAGCCCCATCTATCTTGAACCTACGCAGGACTTGCAGAGGTCCTACTCTCTGTGAGTTCTCAGGTGCATCAGTCAGGTTATGTCTAGAACACATTGTTTTCTTAAGCTCACTCATCACTTCTGGCTCTTACAGTCTTTCTGCCTCTTTTCCACATAGATTCCTAAGCCTGGAGGGTGAGGGGTTTGATGAAAACATCTCATTTAGGACTGAGTGCTCCCAAATCCTTCATTCTCTGCACACTGGCCACTGTGAGCTTCTGTGTTAACTCACATCCACTGGAAAAAGAAGCTTCTCTGATGTGGGTTGAGTGAGACACTAGTTTATGGGTCTAGCAATGTGTCATTAGGAGTCATTTTATTGCTACGTTCCTTTGACAGAATAGAACAGTAAGTTTTCCTTCAGCTCTTGACCTGTCTCATGTCAGGTTCTCTGTCACGTTAGAGGTGTCAGAAATTGGATTCATGTCATGGAGTGGGGCTTAAATCCAATTTGAAAATGGTTGGTTATTCCCATAATATTTGTGCCACCATTGTGCCGGTGTATCCTTCAGGCATGCCGCTATTTTAGGTCATAGACTCCATAGCGGGGTGATACTGATGATTACTTTTCCAGTAGCATGCAGAGTACCTTCTGGTCAGTAGACCTGAAGCTTCTTGTTAGGCATCAGCTCAACTCTTTGTGTTCAATGACATAAGTCAGTGCTGTCTTCACCAATAGCACCTTACCATCAGGTAATCAATAGCTTTGGAAATTGCCTGTTATGTTTGAGGGATTCCATAACCAATGACTCAGCAAGATGTAGTCCATTCCTGACACTGAAGGTTTTCCTTGGAAAAATAAGATATCTAGTTGGGGCATTGTCTCTCCTATTATCTGGTGAATCAATTTAGATTCATTTTGCATATGCATATATTTTAGGAAGCTTCTGTAGAAGTAGGTTTCCTTATAGTTTCTGAAGTAGTCACTAGTGTTAGTTGGCCCTTCCCATAGTCCCTCTTTTATCCTTCTTTCCTTTTCCCCTCCCTAATTAGTTTTCCTATTCCTTCCATTTCCCCTTTGTCTCTCCATAACACTATATTCCATTTCCCCTTTCGTGGGGGATCCTCTCCTTCCACCTACTCCTTTACTAAGTACCTAACCATTGTGGCTATTTGACTTATAAGCACACATATTGAAAGTTTAAGAGCTAAAATACACATATAAGAGAAAAATACAATATTTGTGTTTTGGCCAATTGCTCCATCAATTTGCCTGCAAATTTCATTGTTCTTAGCAGCTGAATAATATTCTATTATGTGAGTGTAGCATCTTTTCATTATCTGTTCATCAGGTGGACATCTAGTCTGTTCCCAGTATCTGGCTATTATAAATAGAGCAGCAATGAACTTGGATGTGCATCTCTGTAATAGGATGTATAGTCCTTTTGGTATTTTCCTGTCTTGGTCAGGTTTTTCTATTGTTGTGAAAAAACACCATGATCATAGCAACTCTTATAAGGAAAGCATTTAATTGGGACTGGCTTACAGTTCAGAGGTTTAGCCCATTATCATCACCATGAGAAGCATGGCAGCTTGCAGGCAGGCATGGTGCTGGAAAAGGAGCTAAGAGTTCTACATCTTGATCTGCAGGCAGCAGAAAGTGAACTGTGTGCCACACTGGGTATAGTTTGAGTATAGGAGACCTCAAAGCCCACTCCCAAAGTGACACACTTCCTCCAACAAGGTCATACTTACTCCAGTAAAGCCATACCTCCTGATGGTGCCACGTCTTATGGTGACCATTTTCTTTCAAACCACCACAATGCTCGAGAGAAGTATAGCCAGATCTTGAGGTAGATCTATTCCAACGTCCTGTGGACTATCACACTGGTTTCCACAGTCGCTGTATAAGTTTGTACTCCCACCAGCAATTAGTAAGTGTTCTCTTTGTCCCATATTCTTGCCAGCATGAGTTGTCAAGACCTTGGCCATTCTGACTTCAATAAGTATTAATGTCATAATCGTAAGACAACTAAGAAGACTATCTTAATTTTTAAAACAATAGATGGCAAATTCCTGCCCAACATTTCCTTTGTTTTCATCTCTGTGAACTGTTTACAGGTAGCCAAAGTCTAACTCTAACTGTGCGAGGGTCCAACAGAAGTACCTGAGAACCATAGGTGTAGCCAGCTTCCTGAGTGCTCCCTGTTGCAGGGTTTCTCCACTCCTCTAAGCTAGTCAGCCATTCTGTCACCCCCTGTCCCACTCGGCACACTATATAAGATGTTCGGGTACTTGGTAACTTTGAACAGCAAGCTCTCCTTTGCTTTGGGCTGTCAGAAAGGAAGATGATGGCTCTGGACAAAGCATGAAGCCCGCTCCCGAACGGGTGGCTGGGAGCTACTGCTTACACATCCTAGTCACAACCCCACCATATGTGGAAATAGCTCCCAAGGGTCCCATCTTTTTCATTCTGGTTCAAATGAATACATCCTGCTTATAATTATCAGGAAAAATAAACTGTATTTTTTAAATTCCCCAAGGGGGAAACATTGTTCTTTATTTTTTCAACGTATAGATGTCATTTCTGTTGCTATTCATACCCTATCACAGGGTATGGGCAGGAATGTTCTCTGGCTCAGTGTTCCTCAAAGCTTGATGCACCCAAGAATCACTGGAGAAGTTTGAGAAAGTGCAGGTTCTGATTCAGTGAGCCTGGTGTGAGACTGGAAACCACATTACTCAGCAATAATCAAGTTGAGCCAAAGTCCAGAAAATGAGGTGAACAGCTGTGGCTCACATCAACACTGTGGGATGGTAGAGACAGGATCACTGTCCTGGGGACAGTGCTGTGTTTAACCATCCCTAGATGGAGCACTTCCTGGTGCATGGTGTTACATTATCACTGTAGGTATATCATGTGCAAACCTTAAGAAGT